AGAGAGAGAGAGAGAGAGAGAGAGAGAGAGAGAGAGAGAGAGAGAGAGAGAGAGAGAGAGAGAGAGAGAGAGGGAGAGGGAGAGGGAGAGGGAGAGGGAGAGGGAGAGGGGCAATAAAATATTCTGTCTTATTCTCTAGTCTTTTTTAATGATTCCTAATATTCCGTTTTATTTTTGACTGCTGCTGCACACTGAGTGGATGTTTTCAAAGAACTATCCACAATGACTCCAAGATCTCTCTCTTGACTAGTTATAGCTAAATTAGTCCCCATCATTTTGTGTGTATAGTTGGGATTATTTTTCCAATGTATATTACTTTACATTTGTCAGCATTAAATTTCATTTGCCATTTTGTTGCCCAGTCACTTAGTTTTGTGAGATCTTTTTGAAGATGTTCACAGACTGCTTGGTCTTAACTATCTTGAGCAGTTTAGTATCATCTGCAAATTTTCTCACCTTACTGTTTACTCCTTTTTCCAGATAATTTATAAATAGGTTGAATAGGATTGGTCTCAGTACTTGGGGGACACCACTAGTTACCTCTCTGCATTCTGAAAACTTACCATTTATTCCTACCCTTTGTTTCCTGTCTTTTAACTAGTTATCAATCGTTCCCTCTTATCCCATGACAACTGACTTTACTTAAGAGCCTTTGATGAGGGACCTTGTCAAAGGCTTTCTGGAAATCCAAGTACACTATATCGACTGGATTCCCCTTGTCCACATGTTTGTTGACCCCCTCAGAGAACTCTAGTAGATTAGTAAGGCATGATTTCCTTTTACTGAAACCATGTTGACTTTTCCCCAACAAATTATGTTCATCTATGTGTCTGGCAATTTTATTCTTTACTATAGTTTCAACTAATTTCCCAGTGTTGGGTTAGGCTTACCCATCTGTAATTACTAGGATCATATGTCACATTAGTTGGGGGCCAACAACACTGTCATTTGTTGTCACACCATTTATTGTGAGTACCACCCTGATGCAGGAATACTTTTTTACATCTCCATGGATACACTACAGTTAGATCTCCCCCTCCATTATTCTCAGGTTTGGGACAACCCTGTGCTAGGGAGGGCCTGCCCTAACCCCAAATTTAGATGGGCCGTAGCTAAATTTGTCCTACCGCCACGAGCATCTTCAGCTTTTGTGTGGATTGCTTGGGGGCCCGGGACTATCCCGTACAAACCTGATTGAGGCTGTAGTCTATCTCGGGACATTCTCATTGTAACTGCCCAGTGAGCCAGGTAAATCTCAAAATGCCAAAATAGTTCTCTCTCTCTCTCTCTCTCTCAAAAATAAATAAATAAATAAATAAATAAATAAAAAGCACTAAAAAAACAACTTGGTCTTTAATTGCTGTTGGAAGAAGGAGATGAACTGTACTTTTATCTGTACATAACAGATCTGATCTTGGCTTATGTCACCTTTTATTAATACAGCTAAAAGGACACTCAAAGCTGAGACCCTTTTGGAGTTTTCATGTTTAATGCAAAGTTATTTTGGTATGAAATCCGAGATGTAGAGCTATTTTCTTGGGCCTTGATCTACACTAGGACTTTATTCCAAAATAACCCCCCGAAGTTTGAATTTATAAGTGGTGTGTCCATACTACCAAGTCTGTTGTTTCGAAAGAACAGGCCGTGGAATTCGAACTCAGTAGTGTGGCTTTTCATGAGGAGTAATGCTAATTCTGAAATAGTAATTTCAAAATAACTTTAGTGTCGACAATCCAGTGCCACTTATTCGAATATATTGGCCTCCAGGAGGCCACCCACAGCTCCCCAGAGTGCTTCCTGGGGTTCTAAGTCCCAGGTAGCATGTCCACATTAATGGTGCCTACCTCGGACTAATTTTGATGCTTCCCCATAATGAGGTCAAATTTGTTAAATCAGAATTCTTACGTAGAATTTAGTAATTTTGAAATAGTTTCCTAGTGTAGACATGGCCTGAGGCAATACGCTTCAGAAGATGTTGTTGGCTCTTCTGACCTTTGTGGTGTTTGTTCTGTTCTGCTGTGTTTCAGGTGGTGTCACAAAATGATGTGTCCCTAACTGGTTTTCAGGAAATGAAAATAGAAAAAAGGCTTGTGCAGCATGCAATATTTGATTAAAATAAACTACATCATCCTTCTCTACAGAGATTCTTCCATCCTCAGGCAATTTACCATTACAGTACTTTTAATGTAAGAGATAAGTAATTAGTGTACATCTAGAGCCTAAGAACCAAGACACTGCCTAGTGAATGCTGACATCAGTTAATTAATCTATATTACTAGACATGACATCATGCACAAGAAACACATCTCCCTGCAATTAAATACTGTTGAATAAGACACCACCTTAGCTGTGTAGATAGGAACAGATTAACTTTAATCACACATGCATGAAACAGAAGTTCAGGCTATCATATCAACTCCAACCCTCTTTTGCTTTGTATGTAATTATATGCAGATATACATGTATACTTATACATATATGTGTGTGAATAAAAGGGCAGATGTATGTAAATACTCTGTTAATGCAAAATTACTGTTAAGTTTTTAATGACAAAATGAAAATTCCGATTATGGTTGATATCACAAACTTAGTCCTACCACTTTGTATTACAAATGCATCTTTATTCTATAACCATAGAAATGATCCCTTTACAAATATGGAAAAAAGGTATGGCTCAACATTAAATCAAGAGCACATATTGATGTTTTTAATTATGTAATTGAGGCTATGTAAAATAACGTCAAGGCCAAATGCAGTTATTAAAAAACTACACCTAGACAATTAGAACTATATCCCCCAAACTGTGTTTTCTTTGTATTTTTTGCTAAATAGTTTTTCATATTGTCTTGAACTGTATGTGGTAAAGGAGGAATTAGTCTGGACCAGTAGGTCAGATAACCATAGAAAATGCATGCAGTTATTCACTATCCACAGGTTTTATTGCTTTCATGCACTTTGAGTTCCTTTGTCCCCACCATAGGCTGTATTTTGATTGGCAAACCTTGCCTTCTTTCCCCAAAGCTAAGAAGTACTTAAGAATTAATTAGAGCGCTGCAACAGTCAAAAAAATATGGGCACATGCTGATAAATAATTAAAACCTATATTATCAACATAAAATATTTACTATTTATTTTTTGAAAAGTGAAAGTATTCAGTACTAGAACTGTTCTATATCCAGGAAAGGTTAATGGTACCTAGAAAAAAGTATTTTCATTCTAATTACTAATTTTTATTAACATGCTGTTCTTTAGTTACTAATTCTATTAAATTAACATATTACAGCTTATTGCTTGCCTGTCTAGAAAGCTCTTTATTAAAAAGAAATTAAAATAGCTCTTTCGTGTGTCAGATTGTGATTGAAGGGAGAGACACAGAGAGAGACATAACAGTTTGAAACTGGGGAAGGAAGGACGGTGACTGAAGCACAAGACTGATAAGCTGGAGCTTTGAGTTCTATTTCCAGCATAAATAGAGGTTCTGAGCACAGCTATGTTGGTGGAGTTTTGATGCTAGCTATATTTATATGTTTGTTGTCTCTGATGCCATGTGTACCTTCTAATCATTAGCAGAGATGCTAGAGACAGAGGTTCTGCCACATTCCCTGGCTTGAAGTGGCTTCCGTCATTTACAGTTTGATTACCGCACTCAGCCTCCACACTATAAAAAATTGTTCTGGCACCTCTGATCACTAGCAGGAACTAAAAAAGACAAATAAGGTTGTTGATGTGATGAGAACTGGGAGCCAAATCTTCTGTTTTATTATAACACTTTAGCTGTTCCCCTGATTGTCCTCTGACCTTGTAACCAATTTGTTGCATGTCCATCTTCCTTTTTAATTATCCTCTGATTCCTGGACTGGGTAAAAGGTTGAGTACCACTCCTCTATGCATGTTTGGCACCAATTTCACTTATTTTTGGACAGGTCCCTTTTGGCTGCCCGCCAAGCATAGCAATTTTGATCTGTACAGCCAGTTGCTGTATTGGTGTAGATCAGCTGAGGATCTGATGTGCACTCATGATGCACACAAGGCAGGAATTTAATTTCACTGTCACGAACAGCTACGTCACTAACTTCTACAAGAGATCAAGATAGCCTCATCATTTCCATTTTTTATGCAATCTGTTTGTTTTCATTGTGTCTCTGAAGTCTGATAACCCCCCTCTGACAATCATAGCCATATAGCTGAAACCTAGTTTCCTTTTCAAACCATTGTAATGGATTAAGGAAAGCCATCAAAGAGGCTGGTTAATGGCCTTAGCCAACATTCCAAAACTCATGGAATGTATCTTTCATCTTGGTGGTAGAAGAGCATGCTACTAGCTCCTTGCTGCTGCTGCTGGTCTTGTAACTAGTGATGTCTGTTAGCACCTCCTGAAGAATAATATTCCATACAAGCGATAGGCAGAAAAAAGGTTTTATTTGACACATTTACCTGATTGTAGGCAGAATTATTATTGCCATCTAAATGTGAAAGGTTTTTCAGCTTATCTCAAAACAGCGTATGTCAACTACTGTGTTCCAACACTTAATGAAACATTTTTTTAAAGCTCTGGGAGTGAACTGGAAGGGGATATTCTCCATGTAAGTTCATGCTATAATTAAAGACTTTGTGTTATTCAGTGTACACTAATAAAGTAATCCAGACACACACACACAGATTAGCAGGTTGTACATTTCCCATCAGAAATGTATTGCTTAATAATGGAATACTGAACATTTTAGAAGAGTTCCCCAAAGGAGGATATACGAGGGAGGATTTTTGGATACCTAAAGAGAAATTGGCCAAGTCCAGGTTCTCTATATTTCTCTTTACAAGTAAGTTAAGAAATAAAGTGTGTGAAATCCTGGCTTACATTTGAGACAATGGCAAACGCCCATTGACTTCAAAGGAGCTGAGATTTCACCTAATTATTTATTACTAAAGCTTTTTGGGAAGGTGAGGTAGATATTTCACAGCTGACCCAGCTCTCATTCTAAAGGGAAACTTGTAACTTAAAAAACTAATCACATTTAGAAAAAGTATTTTCAGGTACTGCACTTGCCTAAGCCAACTTCTGAGGATTCTGATATATATATATATTTTAGAAGAACTTCCTCACCTCTGTTGTGTGGAAGTCCCATAAAAACAACAAGGGAGAAGGTGCAACTTGATTGCATACAACGTGCTGTCAAATGGAAAAAGAAAAAAAATAGTTTTCTCTAATCTTTCAGTTAAATAGAAATAGATGTTACTTGTAAAACAAATGGAAGTATTTTTAGGTAATTTTTTGAGTGGACACAGCCGTCTTAAGCATAGGCTTATAAAAATGAAATGAAAGACATTTTATGTTGGAAAATATAAACTAAGCACTGGTGTTGCAAGTTTTTTTTTTTATATGTTGGCATCAATGAAACAGATTCTCAGAAGAGCGCAGAGGCAGAATTGTAGGTGCTCAGCACTCCTACTAAAGGTCAGTATGAAATGATTCCTGTTTCTATTGAAAAATCTGCAGGACAGGCTTTTAAAATGCTCAGCTTCCAACAATTCCTAATGTGAAACTCTGGACTCTACTGGTGGGTGCTATGCACACTTGAAAATCAGGTCCAGTATCTTATTAATTCTAAGGATCTAGGGGGGGGGGGGGGGAAGCGAGAGGGGGAGAAAGGGAGAGACAAAGAGGGCAGTTGCCCTGGGGCCTAGCGATTCAAAGGAACTCTGGGCTTCTGCCAGTGCTATTGTAGCAGCAGTGGCAGCCATAGAGCTGGGCCCTTTAAATCACTTCTAGAACCCCACCATGCACTCCAGGTGGTTCTAAGGGCTACGTGGGGGAGAGGCGTGATGTATTCGCTGCCCTGGCCCTGCCTTTTCTGCCTGAGGCCCCACCCCTTCTGGGAGTATGGAGTCATCTCCCCACCTACCCAACTGACCCACAGTTGCTGTCAGTGCCCCGAATTGGTTCCATTTGTGCAGCAACAGATGTCCCTGCCTTTGTATAAAATGAACCGGCTAACTCTGGGACTCACCTTCTAAGAATGGTTCTGTGTTTTCACAGTAGTTTGATTGTTATCAGGATTTGGTTAAGTTTGGGAGGAAGAAGAATTCTGATATTTGAATTAAATGTTTGATATTTATTTATGATGCATTCCAGGGGTACACTGTGTGGATTTTTCTTCCTAAAACAGGCCAATGTTCAAGTTTAATATTTGCCCATGACCAGATTTTCAGCTAGCCTCAAACTGGTCTCTGTTTTTGCATAAACAGCTAATCTATATCTGTGTAAACCAGATGTACACCATTTCTCACACACAATCCCCCTTTGCACTCTGAGTCGCTAGTCATCCAGATGGTTGCTTGAGTGAGCAAAATGTGATGGGAGCGGACATCTTCAGAGGCAATCCACAATGTGCAAACATGGGCTTTCAAACGTGGAGGTCCTGGGCTGATCCCTTCCCATAATAGTCCATCCATGTTGGTTACATCTCAATATATTTTTGAGGCTGAAGGCACTTGTGGGAGCAGCTCACACGTCAACTGACCTATTTTTTTATTGTTCATTTCTACTCCTCTATCCCAAATGGCATGGAGTTAAAATTATGAACAAGTCAGTCTGGTGAATTTAACAGTTACATTGTATTCATGAAAGCAGACCTAATATTCCCTGACAAATTGTTCCATCTACCTCTATTGTAAAATACAGTATCTACTGAACCCCGGGTTGCATTTCTCTTAGGGGCCTGCATGATATGATACAATACAAAATACAATGCCTGGCATACAATGCATTTAAAATCATTTAACATATTTGATTGTTAATTGAACTAGCCTGCCAGCACATCGGATGCCATCTGTCCATTTATTGACAGTCTTGTCAGGGGGAAAAAAAATCTTGAGTGAGTTGGCAGTGGCCCAACTTGCCGTAGGTCTGCTTTCTAGTATTTCTGTAACAGATGTTGTGCCACATGCCCAAAGTTGCTGTCTATAAACCAATGTATGCTCAAATTGTTAATTTTTGGGTGGGGAGAGAGGAGGAACATGTATGCTTTCCTACCAGATATCATTTGGTGCTGCTCTAGGCTATGTTACATTGTACTACAAAGTGATGAAGAGTTCTGACCTAACATCCATTGGCATTAGTGAGGGTCTTTCTGTTGACTTCAATGGATTTTGGCAAATTTAAGATCTGGTCCAATTAGACAAACAAATAGCAATATTAAATCAAGTTAAATTAACAATATTTTAAAATGCCTGTAGACAACTTAAAATTCAAATGATGTGAATTACTGTGTGTTTAGATTTGTTGTTGCCATTTCTTCCCTGCAGCTCTTTGAAATTGTTCATACAAATATACAAATCTTAATAATAATAAACAAGCTAGAAATTCTGGTGGGTTCCCCCCATGTTTACTATATAACATAATTCCAAAGTACTCTATTTCACTGTAAACCCATGTAAATCACTCTTGGTGAGCTGAAGCTTCAGCAAGCCATGTTTTTCAATTCTGTGATTAAAATACAGTGGCTTCTGTTCTGGTCCTCTTGTCTAGCTCTGTTGGATGTCACAGTAGTAAAAGGAGGGAATTATCATCATCCTACACTAATTGCTGCTACTGCTGATAGGAAAGATTTTTTTTCTTTTTGTGAGTACAAAAGAAAAGAAGAAATAGGTCACTTGAGCAAAGCAATATGTAACGACATGTACCTTTAGACAACGTTCTACATTGCTTTCCATTTCAAGAAATTTGATAACAGGGTTATCTTATGGGAGGTTTTTCAGTGCTACTTTTCCATCCTATTTATACTTCCACATTATCTTATCCTATATAGTTTCTTGGATGGTTTGACCATGTGTCTGGTAAGCGATAAAAAGAAAGACCTCAGTGATGTAATGTTGAGATGCATAGTACACCAGGTGACTTGCTTTATGTAATAGCCTAGGGGAACATTTAGCTCTTGGCACTTCATTGTGTCATGTTTAGTGTCTAGCTTGCAGCATGTTCTCTTTAATATGTGGCTTGGGGTGGCATAATTTGTTTGGGTTATTTTTTTGTAAGAATTATTTATGTTAGGATTAAAAATACAAAAAAGCATATAGGACAATCTTAGATAGAAACAGATGAGACTAACCCACTATCATTTGTCATTTATCTGTCAGGGTCAGGAAGTCATTGACGTGTTCGCAGAAAAATATTATGATGCTAAAGAAGTGATTATATACAGTCTTGTACGAGGAAGGAGGGCCTTCAAAATTTCACCTATTTATAATTGTGAAAAGCAGGGTCATAAGCAGATGTGATCCAAGGCTAGGGAATGCTAGTAGTTCATACTGTGTATGAACACATCTGCTACTCAGCGACAAATGTCAGTCTCCTTCCTGATGAGAAAATTTTTAAAAAGAAAGATATACAGTAAAAGTGTAATGCCTATTAAATGACCTGGGAGGCTGCACATGCCCCAACATATGTTTTACAATTCAGAGTAATAAAAAATAAGCACAGGAGACTACTTAATTATAAAAAAATCCAAACTCTGTGTAAAAAAGGAAACATGGAATTAAGTTTACAGTCTTAGCAATATATATTTTGCAAACATGCATGGTAGAGTTGACTGAGATGTCTGACTGAACAAGGCAACAAATGCTGTGTATAAGCCTTGAAATTATAATGATAAAAGCAATATATTAGTTCATAGCCAGAAAAATGTGTAAGGACATTCATGGCAGGTGGTGATACTAATAACACCGGAACAAAAATAATGTTGTGAAAAGCAGACAGATGAGACATATTAAGCCAATTAAAGGTACTGTATTTATCTACCTCGTCTGCTTTAATAACAAACCCCCCCATTATAACTGCCAGTATAAAATTAGAATTTTTAAAAGGTGGCTATGACAAGCATCTGATCTCTTAACAGTGCAAAAGTGAAACAATAAGCTACTTAAAAGTGCCTGCTTTCTATATCAATATAAACTATATAGCGAGATGGTTATAATAGTTTCTCTAGATCTTACCTTTTTAGTCAAGAGGCTGATGTGAACAGTTCTGATGCCTCACTGCTTTTGCCAGTACTCCAGGATGCAACACTGCTTCGTCCTTGCAGGATGTGCATTGAGTTAGACAGAGAATCACATTTTCGCAGGCTGCGAGCAGTGAGGAAGGTAGATAGGAAATATTTCATACTTATAACATACGCTGTAAATGAGACTATATAGGAGCATCAGTATTCTCTTCCATTGATTCTTATACTCCTAAAGTCAGAGACTCTGTTGCACTCTCCCCCTCCCCCTGTTTCTATTGCTTAGCAACACTTGTGGACTCAAAGCAGAGCCCTGCTTACAGATACATCTCTAATCATACTTGGAGGCTCAGTAGTTTGAAAGTGCAAAATGAATCTTTTTGCCATTTGCTTAGATGCCATTAAATAGCATATATCCCTTCCCCCAACAGCCAGAGCGTATTTCAGATTTTCACATTACCATTTCAATATAACCAAGAGTGAGGGAACCATTTCCAAAATCTGGACTTATGGAGAGTCTTCCTGTATTACTAATACCAAAGCTGCTAGTTTGACATGGAATAAGAGTATAAATGCTGACTAGGAAATCAAAGAACCATTGCTTTCTAACATGCAGCATTTTCATTTCAATTAGAGGTGGAAAAACACTTAGTGTATTCCTCTGGCAAAATGTGTATGCAGAAATTATATAACCATTATAATATTGTCTTGAACAAGCAAGTAGTAAGAGAACTGTAACTGCCTCCCATCCAGTCTATATATTTTTTTCAGCAGTACAGGTGCATACTAGAAATTCCTGGAAATGTTCAGTTTGCCAAGCTACAATGGATCCAATTACATTTTGGGCTGATCTACTTTATCATCTCTCTCTTCTTTAGGCTTTATTTGCAGTGCATAGTACCTCTTAAAACTGTGGTTTGTGTTTGCTTTGCTTATGGCGTATAGAGGGTGTTTATATGTAAATCTGTTAGCGCATGTCTACACTAAGAAATTATTTTTAAATAACTTATTTCAAAATAATAACTCCTGAAATAACTATTTTGAAATAGCATGTCCACACTATAACGAAGCCTTGAAATTAGTCCGAGGCAGGCTCCCTTAATGTGGATGTGCAACCTCAACTTAGAGCCCAGGAACCACTGGGGAGTAATTACTTTGAATGACTCTGGGGAGTGCTTATTTCGAAATAGCAGCACTGGAACACCCAAATAACTATTTTGAAATAAGTGTTATTCCTCATGGGAAACAGGAGTTAACCAGTTCCTTATTTCTAAATAGCAGGCTTGGTAGTGTGGACGGTCTGCTAGTTGTTTTGAAATAAGGGGAGTTATTTTGAATTAACTCCCTAGTGTAGACCAGGGCATAGTATCTTCAAGAGTAAAGAGATCACAAACATTTTTTTTATTGAAAAGCATGTTTTCTCTCTGTGTGGAGTGAGATTAATATTGTTCGCCATAATCAAAAGAACAGTTTGGACACTGCTGGTGTGGCACTGCAAGAATTTAACTCCTCAAATTCTGAAACAGGCTCCACCAGGCTTAGCAGAAGATTCATGCTTTTGCCAGTCAGAATCATTTCACTCTGGGATTTTCTGATATTTGAAAATTTTATCGGTCAGTATGCTTTTTAAGGCTGGAAGTGCACTGACCTTCTTTCTCTCAACATAAATGAAATTTAAGGAAATTCTGCCTTTTGGAAGGGATGGTAGAGTTGCTCACATGTTCTTTCAACTCAAACGTGAGTGAAACAAATATGTGAAGCACCCTTAGAAAAGACAGAGTATGTGAGACTTCAACAAGCAATCTATGGCACATCTTGTGGGACTGTCACAAAATTAATTGATTTTGGTGAAAACTGAAAGGACTCTTCAGGACATCTTCAAGAAATGCTAACTTAAATCACTTTCAGTTACACTTGCCTCATCGACTGAGCTCTCCCAGAGTAGATACAAAATGAAATATTAGGGCGTCCGCTGTTAGGAATCAGATTTATGTTATGAGATACTAAGCATTTGATTGCTAGCACAGGCCATGTGTAACACTGTAGACTACATGCATCCGACGAAGTGAGTCTTTGCCCACAAAAGCTTATGTGCCAATACATCTGTTAGTCTATAAGGTGCTATAGGACTCCTTGTCGCTTTTGCAGATCCAGACTAATACGCCTACCCCTCTGATACTGTAGACAGAGGTAGCAAATATTGTAAGTTGTGTATGGTCATAAGAGACAAGTACCATTTTTACCCTGTATTTTTGACTAGTGATGATGTTGGAGTTTCACAGGAATACATGGGGGCAGAATTAAACACTTTTGTATTTTATCCTGCAAGTACTATATTTTTAAAGGCTGGACAATAGTATTGTATTTGCTCACCTAAAACCAATGTAATTTTGAAAACCTTTTAAGCTATTAAAGGAGCTTTCTGGAAGGTTCATTAACTATGCTGGATTTTTACAGAACTCTTCATATGTCTCTATGCTTTATGATTCTAACAAGTTCAAATGGAGATAAATGGATATAAAGGGCTAATAAATAACTTAAGTACCAAAACATCCTCAAATATACACTTATCCAGGATTTTAGCACTTAATCTTATGAACTCCTAATAAAACAAAGATTAAAAATAGACTGTAAATCAGATTTTGGTAGAAGCTTTCCCTGGCTTCAGAATGTGGACTGATTTCTCAGCAATATATGGTGTGCGCACAGACCTTACAAATATGAGGACTTGTAGATTCAGACTTTTTTTTGTTTCTTCTATGAGTTGGGTTTGATCACACTTATATTTATCTAGCCTCTCTTATGCCATGTTCTCTTGGAAACCCTGTTAGCAGAAGTATGGAAGCTGAACATGATACCCTCTGCCTTTTTTTGACAGGTGGAGGGAGAGGGGAGGAGAACATGCATTCATTTTCTACACAATGGGTTTCTACCACTTATTTTCATTGTCACTGCATGTGCAGTCAGACAGTGAAATGTTATGTCTGCTTCTCTTGCCCCTTTAAGTGAAAGCTCCTTTATCAAGAATTAATTGAGGTCTGAGGACTCCATTGCTGCTATGCTGTTATCTAAACAACAATGAAGAAGAAAAAGGGTGTCTCTCTCTCCTGCTTTTGGCTCTTATGGAAAACAGAATCCTCTAAATAGTAGGGTTAAACAATCTTTTAAAATACAATATCTGTTAATTTCTTGGAAACATTGTGGGGTGAACAGTATTTACATACTTCAACTTTATAACATTTTGTATCTGTTAATGTTTGATTATTAAAATCACTGCCACTGTTTTGTGTTTTCCCCACATTGTACCAGTGAATTGTTCAGTTACAAAGGACCAGGAATTGCACTGTTTTACTGAGCCGAATGAATAGTAGATTAATTCAGCAATCTGCCTCCACAGATCAGGTGTTTGAAAATAACTAAAGATACTCCCTTCTGGAATAAAGAAAATAGTATAGCAAAATATTCAAGGCATAGCCTAATGCTGTTTAAATTTACCATATTTCTCCCCTTCAAACAAAAGCTATACAAGTGATCTACGCTGAACCTCATTATAGCTTAAAAAGACACCAGGTCTGTATTATATCAGTATAACATCTGAGTATCCTGAGAAGTGTCATATTGGGAGGTGAGATTAGGCTGTACTGAAGACTGATAGGCTTTTTATATTTAAAGTACTTTACAGACATCTATCTAATTAATACATACAACTGTCGGATTACATTCCAACTGTGTCTCAGGCTTAAACACTCACCTCCCCAGCGTTTTGTAGGTGATGGGTGTACTTTGCAGATCTCCTGCCTGTTAGCAGAAGTACTGCCACCACTGCCAGCCTTGCAGAAATCAGCAGGCTAAATTTTCTGAACCAGAGTAACCAGGTATCACTGTTGTAACCAGCATGGTATGATAGCACCCCTTTTAAGTTACTCAAACATGCATAAAGTTTCACCTTTTGGGATGAAATTTTTCATGTTCATTTTTAGCATGCTAGTCCTAATCCTACTAGCCTGAGTCTGTCTACCTCTGCTGGCAGATTCATTCCTGGCTCCAGTGTAGACACGGGACTCATATCTTGACTGGGCACTTCAGGTACTACTTTAATACGAGTAGGTTTTGATGGGTCGGGATGCTTGGGATGTCACCTGAAGTGCTTAGATGCCACTGAACCCCCCTTCTCTGTCAGCCTGTGCCCCCCTTTTACCTGGTTTTGCTGAGCCAGTCTCTCTGGCTTCTTCTGGCAAAGCCCATAGGCAAGGCCACACTCAGTTGGAGATACAGAGACTGAGATCAGCTCTGGGAGGACTCAGCTTAAAGACTCCAGCACCCAGATACCCCCTCAAGCCCCACACTTTGGGGGTACAAATCAAAAATTAAATGAAGTTTGCCTCTTTCCTCCCCTTCCCCTATTAGAAATTACGTGAACTGGGTTATACTTGTTAACTATGAAAAGGTGGCCAAAGAGGTAATAGATTGCATGTTTTGTATTATTTTCTGAGAAATTTGCTTTGTTCTAAACTAAATTAACTGAAAACTGGTTCCAAACAACAATTTCTCACCCTAGATATCATTTCAGGTAAAGCCCCCTTGGCATGGATCTAGCAGTTCTCCCAGTCAGTTATGGTCCTTTTGTTTCCAGGTGTTTTCAAGTATCATCATGGAGGTGGGAATGCAGAGGTAAAGCCAGTTGAACAAGTGATTGTTTTCTTTCCCACCTTATATAGAAATTCCATAAAGCAGGAAACCTTTGTTGAGTCCCTCCATGGAAATGTACAGAATTTAAGATGGGTTCCAGTATCAGGTGACATGGTCACACACCTTTTCTTAGGACCCCTTTAGCCGTTCTTCTCAGACTCTGTCTACAGTGGGAAGGTTATGGTGACAAAAGTGCTGTCGACATACAAAAGTCAGCAAAAGTGAAAACCAGTCAAACTGGTTTTTCTGCCTCCCCTTGTCGACATTTCATGGCCACATTCCCCATCAACAGATAGAGCAAAGCAATGTAGGTAAGTATCCCAGAGCGTAATGGGCTGGGAAGGCAGAGCTGATCCCTGCGCTTCTTGGGATCCTCTCTCAGTTCTCCCACAGCATTCTGTGTGCTGGGAGAAGCATCATGAGTAGCTCTGTGAGCTCTGCATGCTGAGGAACATCAAAGCAGCAAAGCAGTCTCTCCAGCCTTCCCCCTGCAGCAGCAGTTTGCCTGCTGCTCTATTTCTAGCAGGGAAGAACAAGAACATTCCAGTTATTTGCTCTTTTTGTTTGCTCCCTAAATGGAGCAGCTCATTCATCTGTCAAATACTTGCCAGAGCTTTGAAAAGGGAGGGGTA